GGGACAATGCTACTAGTCTCATTCTGAAGGCAGAAGCTTCCCGAGTTACTTTTGCTGTGTTACTTCGACTTGAGGAGCCAAACCTCTTGATCAGGTTTGTTGGGTCCATTATTTTCGGCTTACGGCCAGGGTATGCCAGTGGTAGCTCGCACGTCTATTGCGTCCATGTTGCGGGGATCTAAATAACCCATGGGCCGTCATCATATTTTTGCCGGCATACCCAGCAAGTCATCCGTTGCGAGCAGGCAAAAGCGGGCCCTGCCTTACAGGACTTCCCAACCATTGGCGTTTCGCCGGGCGGTGTGATGCGGCAGGTGTCGCGTCGTCGTCTTCAAAAAGGAAGGGGCCTACATCCATTCGCATTGTCGAGTAGACCGGCTCTGTCAATTTAAGAAGAATGACATTCTCCCTGTTGGACAACCAGTGGTCGGTTTCCAAAAGGTCCAAGTTGCGTGCACTGAGGTCGAAGGTTGCAACGATAGCTCGCGCGCAAAACGAAAATGAATACGCGTAGACATTCGTTGCGGACTTGCCGCCCTTGACCACTTTGGGACGACCTTGCAAGGTCTCCCGGTGCCGCTTTAAAAACAGGGCATCCCCGACCCCGTCTAAGATGACTCCAGCATGGATTCGGCGGTCGAATTCCGCCAAATCCATCTGTTCCGAGTCTTCCACCGTGATTTCTAAGAAGTCGGCCAGGTTCACCCGTTCACCGACCCGACGCAACACATGCCCTGCAAAAACCGACTTTCCCAATCGGGTGCCCCCCACGATGGCCAAGATAGGCCGCCGGAACTTGGCTTGGCCATCATGAAGCCCAATAAACTCTTCGACCTGGGGGTACACCTTCATGGGCAGCATGGCTGGTGCAAGCGCATGCTGTTGAGCCGAAACGTCAGAGCGTAACGACTCCTCTTGCAGATAGCGTTCGGCGGCTTTACAGTCAGCCAAGCGCTTCTGAAACCCCACTGTCACGCGGGCAGCCAAATGCAGGTATGTTGCCCGCGTCAGCTTCCCGGCTTTCATGAGGTTATCCAACCACCATCCTTCCACCGCGTATGATTTGAAGGGCGCGAAGTCAGTGTAGTTGAATCTGGGCTGTCTGTGTAGTCACATGTCGCAAGAACATGACTACAAGAACCCGTGCCTGATTAAACAAACTTCGCAAAATCGTAATGTTAGGAAAGCCCAAGCTGCATTGTTCCGATCTTGTTGACCACAACATAAAAATGGCCAAGCCGCACGGCTCCCATGTAGGACTTGCCCGATGCCGTGTTGGGGGTGAGGTGTGGCTTGACACCCTCAAAGTTGAAAACGTCCAGGGCTTCACGCCCACGGCGGTGGAAACTCTTTCCCAAATGGAAGTAGGCATGCATGTGTACCTGCCTTGGTGATGCCCTTTCCATGGTGGCCGAAGTGCCGAGAACATGAAGGGCTTCTGAGAGACCGATCAAAAAGCCAACGAAGCGGTTGAACAACCTCTTCAAGACGTCATCTTCCTGGGAAGCCCACTCGCCTTGACTGCAGTTGTACGTCAACTGTACCGCGGAAAACTTCCACACTTTGTTGTCGGCCGGGTTTTGAACGGCTTGTGGTTGAGCATCTGGGTATGTGGCTTGGAAAGCTGCAGTAGCTCCGACCACTTGCTGTCGTACTTCATCAGTTAGTTGAAGATTCAATAAATCACGGCTCAGTTTTTCGACTTTGGCTCGGGCAGCGGCATCGTTTAGAGTTTCTAAGCCATGCTGGCGGGCCAGTGCGGACAAGACCCGCACTTGCGCAGCACGTTCAGGATTTCGTAATCCCCCCATGGCACTGAGATGGCAAATGCCCCCCGATGTATGTGCCCCAGTTCAACAAAGTCTCGTCACTTATGTTCGTTCGTTGTGTCTTTACCACCGTTTCCTGACAACTTTGTCGTCAGCCGCAGTTGTCCTCTGTCTAAAGCTGGAATGTGAAGGTCTCAGCTGTCGTGTTCGTGCAGAAATATCTGAATCCAAGTTCGAGCTAAACACGACGTGACTGGACATGGGAAATGCGCAATAGTCTGGCACACACCACTTCTGTCTCAGGTCTCATGGCGTAAATCACTCTGCACTCGTGTGCTCTATTTCGTCGCGGCTCTTTTGCATGCGCGTGTTCTACGTCGTGCTCCAAGGCAGCAGTGGACAAAATGACAAAAAATTGGTTCGTGTGGCATAGATCATCCAGCCTCACGTCTTCCAGAAGAGGCAGAAATTGTTGCTTGTGATCCCTGCCAAAGTCTCATTACCCATGAACAAAATTTCAATCGACCCATCTAGGAGTATGCCTATGCCCAGTGGTCGCTTGCACGTGGTGTGACGAGAGCTTCTTCAGGCCTATCTGTCCAGAACTCAAAATCCAAAACTTCGTTTGGTATGTTTGGCTTCACGGTGCTACCAAGCAGAGATGGAGGCTTCGAGCAAGATGCAAACCCAAACAATACACCAATCCACAAGAAACATTGCCGTCGCACTCCGAACTCAAGACCTGCAGTCCTATGTCATGTACCAGAAACGACCCCTAAATCCTCCAGATACACGAATGGGCTTCGTTTTGCTTTTAACTCTGGCTCCGGGTGTTTGGAAAAGATGGTGGACGCAGGTGTTGGAAGAATGGCAAGTGGCTTCAAGGCTTAATAACTCCTCTGTGCTTTCGCTCTTGCTAGGTCCGAGGTTCGGAGGCTGGTGGATTCATCATCTTGCTGCGGGCGAGGTCTGTCGGATCATCAGAACTCTCTCTGCCTCCCTTTGCCCGAATTTTGCAGAAGTCGAGGATTCAAAATGTCAACTCCACCGCAGGTCCTGGAGCCCAGGCTCGAAAGCTGAACACAATGATTGTCCAACTGCACACGCGCAAACGCCCAAGTTCACACCTGCCCCTTGTATTCAACAAACAAACTCCGCTTGTCAGAGTGCTTGTAGTCGATCAGATGTCTGGTCCCAAACACGAACACGTTACATTCCGGGTTCAATATTTGTCAGCTCTGTTTTTGAATGCAGAGTGCGAATTACGACATGTCGTTCCAACGCCGGTGCTGAGATGTATGTTCTCAAGCGCGGAACTCAGCGAAATCCTGAACTCCTTAACCTTAGACCCTGACTCAGCAACATGTTGAACTCCTGAACCTTAGACCCTGAAGCCATGCTTCTCTGACACGTCTCGTCAAAACTGAAATCCAGGAACTTGTCGTGGAGCCAAACCCTATACCCAAGGCCTACGGGCCTAATGGTTGCAAAACAAACAAAGGACCGTCTGTGTGAGGGTTTGGTACCGATGATACTGTACGTGTGTTCACCGCACCGAGCGTAATGATGTAGATGTGGTTGCCCTTGTAAACACGTGGTACATCTGCAACACCCTGATCACTCCCTGCAGGCAAACTTGGTCCGACTGTTTTCTCGCTAGAAATTCTCGACGAGTTGTCTGTGCAAGGGGAATGGCTCGATCCTCCAAGCCGTACACAGGGCACTAGCTATTGCCAGCACGGCAGTAAGTTGCTATGCCTTTAGCGTAATATTGAGCCAAAGTTGTGTTGCATGCGACGCAGTTACGGTGGCACTGACACATGGTCCGGCTAGCGGTCCCAAGTGCAGGCAAGATACAGTTGATGAGACAAAGTCCGCAAAACGGCACCTTGCTCTATGTACATGGCAGACCATGACCTTGTGCCCATAGCTCACACAGCAACACCTACGAATTGGACTAGGCATCGAGGTCCGTTCGCATGCTGCATGTGTTGTGCCTCCGGCATTACTCACATGGAAGAGAGTCGCGATTAGACAGAAGAAAAGAAAATATCCGCCGCAACTTTGGAAAATGTTGGGATAATCCGGGTTCTGTGTGCTCCCCAAATCCTGACCACAATCCGACCTGAAAGCCTGAAACCGAGCGAGCGCCGAGCGAGCGGAATTCGGATCTGAAAGCTTGAAACCGAGCGAGCGGAAATGGGCGGGAAGAGAGCGGAAATCGGATCTGAAAGCCTGAAACCGAAGCGCCGAGCGAGCGGAAAGGGGCGGGAAGAGAGCGGAAATGGGCGGGAAGAGAGCGGAAAGAGCCTTGAATTCCCAATTACACACATTGTGACACTTCTCTACGTCAGTAACGATCCCCTGAAATGGCGTCGCAGATTCAGAGAGTCACCGAAGAAAACGACCACGAGCAAAGATCGCTTGCAGGTAGCCAGTGCCACACAGACGACCCCAAAGCGGATTGCCTTCACCAATTATCGCGTTCCCAGCGTCGGAGACGCTCTGTTTTTTCAGGATCCCAGCGTCTGAGACGGCTCCTCTGGATTCTTGGATTTGCCTTCATCCTTCTGTCCTTTGTAGTCGTGGTAGGTGTTGGCATTCCAAGTCACTCCACGAGCGTCGTGTCTCCCTTGCCGGATGAAGACGCTTTGGCAACGGATGGGCGCCGCGATCATGTTCTTCCTGTGCGACGTCCATGATTGATGTCTGCCCTGCAGCCATGTAGTCAGAAGCAGAGCGATATTGGAGAGCTTGGCGTCCTCGATGGACTCGTGGGTTCCTCTCCTCGTCAATCTTCCTTTTGACTATCTTATCTTTGCACTTTGCTGGAACTTGGATGTTGTGATCGATGAGCAATGCAATCGTCTGTGCAAACGAATCCTTCAAGCTTTGGATGAGAAGGATGCCCACGGCACAAGAAGTCGGTAGGTCCAGCAGGTGTAGGACGTATCAAGGAGAACGACGTGTACCCGGTAAGCTTCGGGATGACCTCGCAAAGCACCCCAACGCAGCTGTAGTGCATCTCCTTCGGGGTTTGACCCCTTTTGATGTAGGTCTGGGGATTGAACGTGCCCCTCGAGTAGCCCATCTGAATTGATCCCCGGACCAATGCTGAAAGAACGTGGTTTGCCCGAAAGCGTTTCAGCATATACGCTCCTTCAGGGTCATCGCGGTCCGCCTTTGCTCGCGCGGACTCGCGTATCTCCGCATCCGTGACTTCTTTGCTGATCTTAGTCTCAGGGTCAATTTCAGCAAGCTCTCCAGGCCAGTAGCCCAGGACATCATATCTGCACCCTTGGGAGAATTTCTCCTGCATCTGGAAGTACGGCATAGTCACCCATGACGAAGTAGTCGGCCAAATCCTCTACATAGCACGAAGCAAGCAGTAGGCCATGTAGGCAAATGCGGGCCGGATGGCATCGACACAGTGTCCTTGCTTCTTCTCGGGATAGTATGGTGGTTGCATGGCTGCTTGAGCTTGTAGGAGATCTGGATCGGTAATCAATGTGCGTCCAGGTAAAAGCAGAGGACGTCGTTCCTTGAGCACGTCTTGAGTGATGTCCTCCTCATACTCGGAGATCTCTTGCAACATTTCCTCATCAGGTTCGGGTTCTCGCTCAGACTGTTGGTCATCGACTTCCATCTCCGGCTCTGCAACCGTAGCTGTCTCCGCCGCTTCTTCCTCATCCGCATCAGTGGTTGGAACTGCTGCCACTGCTGCTTCCATGGTTTGCGCAATGCTCGAGCTGGGGACCTCCGAAGGAGTCTCCCTTGGCGCATTCTTTTGGTTATGTCCACATGACATGTAAAGTGACCAGCAGATTGCGCATCTCGATGCGCACGCGGGTACCGCGTTGTAGCAAGCAGGGCAAATGCGCATTCGCTTCCCATCGCTTTCTCCCCCATGCATAGATCGTCAGGACGTGTGCTCTTGATGAGGAAGACGATGCCTTCTTTCATGTAGCGGTGACGCCGCGTGTCCTCGTAATGATACTTTACTGTTGCCGCAAGGGCGCACAGTAGCCGTTCCTTCCTAGCTGTGTGAGGTCATGCTGGCATGTCGCAAAGCATTTCCATAACACGAGTTCTCGCCTTCTTGAGGTCGTTGAGGATCTTCGAGCTTCTCGTCGAAAATCTTCTCAATGAGGTCAAAGGACCTTTGGTCCCTGTCACTCGGTATGCAACGCCAGGCCTCCTTGACGAGCTTGAAAGGCACAGGGCGACCAACAATGACGGCGCCACTGTCTGTGATTCTTCCTCCTTGGCGAACGAGGTCAGCTGCAGGAACATAGAGCACCGCCAACGGCGTCCTTTGATTATGGCGTCCGGTGACCCTTGTTTTCGTTGTAGAATTCCTTGGGTCCCACGGTGCAAAGATGGCGAAGTAGCTGTGCACCCTTCCAGATTCGTGCCTCCTGTCATAATCACCCTCGATGGTAGCTCGTGGCAACACGCCCAATTCCATGATGGAAAACATGTTCCGACAAGCGGTCGCATGAAAAGCACCGCCAAGCTGATTCAGTAAGCTCATTGAAGGAGAAGTAGCGAACTTGTTCGCGTCGAGCTCCAACAGATTTCTAGATGCAACCGAGTGGGTCGAATGTCCACTGACTGCTCTCACGGCCCAGGGCCGGATCCATCCATCACATGACCCCATCCATTGGTTTCCGCAACTGGTGTTGTGGTCATGCTGCAACTCTGTGATCTGGCCCCTCTTCGACACAAGCACGTTGGAATGAGGAGGACCGAGGCTATGACAGTCGCAGCCTCTCATTGTAGACTCTTGTCCGTTGTTCCTCATCAGTATGCGATGCAGCATCAGTGATTCCACGGATGTTATGCGTCCAAAGGACTTCCATCTTGATGAGGTCATCGATCGATAGCCATCCTCCTTCATAGCACTTGATGACTTTCCGGAATCTCACGTGGCCTTTACCACCCAAGAACGTTGTACCAGCAACCTGCGCAACACGATGTCGTAGGTCAGATTGAATGCAGGAAAGGGGCCAACTGGCGTTCTTGATAGCACGTCGGTTCAT